GAAAACCCCTTCTGAGCGTTTTACAAAATCGGAACAGATATTACAGGAATCCAAACTACACTGAACAGGATGAGACAGACGAGGTTTAATATCAGACGCAATGTGACTTTCTGCGACGGGCTGACCCCACTGCTCCGAGCGGCAGCGACCACCAAACTACGGGTGGCAAATGATGACCTCCTCCTCCCTCTCCCCACTCCTGGCCCTTGTAGTCTCTGGTAATACATCGTGGTCTCACGTGGTCTATAGTAGTCTCACGTGGTGTCACGTGGTGTCACGTGGTGTCTCGTGGTGTCTCGTAGTGTCACGTGGTGTCTCGTGGTGTCTCGTGGTGTCACGTGGTCTCTCTCGTGGTGTCACGTGGTGTCACGTGGTCTCTCGTGGTGTCACGTGGTCTCTCGTGGTGTCACGTGGTGTCTCTCGTGGTGTCACGTGGTCTCTCGTGGTGTCACGTGGTCTCTCGTGGTGTCACGTGGTGTCTCGTGGTGTCACGTGGTCTCTCGTGGTGTCACGTGGTGTCTCTCGTGGTGTCACGTGGTCTCTCGTGGTGTCACGTGGTCTCTCTCGTGGTGTCTCGTGGTCTCTCTCGTGGTGTCTCGTGGTCTCTCGTGGTGTCACGTGGTCTCTCGTGGTGTCACGTGGTCTCTCTCGTGGTGTCTCGTGGTCTCTCTCGTGGTGTCACGTGGTCTCTCGTGGTGTCACGTGGTCTCTCGTGGTGTCACGTGGTCTCTCGTGGTGTCACGTGGTCTCTCTCGTGGTGTCTCGTGGTCTCCAGCTATGTTCGAGTCCACAGACCACTCACTCTTCCCTCGCTCCCTGCGCGTGTCCACGAGTTTGTAGTCGCTCCAGTTAAACGAAGGCTTGAGGCCTATTTATATAATTTAGCCGTCTTATTTTATTCTGGCATCTCACAGTTTTATTGTTTTGTAAAAAAAAAAAATTCGCACTTGATGTATTTTATTATTTCGTGAGTGTTTTTAGAACATTTGTCTTTGTAAATGTTTTGTTTTATCTTCACTTGTGTGAAGTGCCTTGAACCGTGTGATATGAAAGGCGGTCTATAAATAAAGACGAGTATTATTATGATGCTCGGATCCCATGCTCTAATGAATAGATCTCTCTCCCTTCCGGCAAAAGTGTTCATGTCGACGATTATTCCTTCGCCAGCATCTGCGTCGCCATGGACTGCATGAGCTCATCCTCACGGACCACGCTCACATCCTCACTTGACGTGGTCTCATCTTGGATTGCTTCGCACTTTGTCCGGATACAAAGATTTTCTTTTTTTCAAGAACGCAAGGGGACCCACCCCTCGGTGGCAAATGGCGACTCACAGCAGTGTTTGAGCGTGCGTCCCCGACACCCTGGCACCGCACTGGTAATAGGTGTTGCGACGCCTCGGAGCTGACACTGATCCCTCCACCCCCCCCCCCCCCCCGTATATTCAATCTGCAGGACCTCGTGCCTGCTCCTGAACAACGTCTCTCGTATCTGGCATTGACCTTCCCCAGCTGCTGCTGCTGCGGCTGCTGCGGCACGCGTCAACGCCTTCATCGCTCAGGTCGCACAAGCAGTAAGGCCCCTTCGTGCATGTCAATGCGTTTATTTAATGCCCCGGTTAAATCATGGAACTCTCTCATCTATAAACTCCACAAAACCCTCGTCTACAAACTCCAGCTAATTTAAATTAACGACGTCTCTGCTGCTGCCACGAATGTGACCTCTGGCTCCCAATCCAATCCCGGATCAACTTCAAAACTGCCTTCAACCATGTTCAAGATCCTCCACGGACTGGCACACTCGCCACTCATCTCTCCCAAGTCACTCTACTCTCTCCTGCAAGCACTCTCCACTCCAGCGACCACGGCTGTTTGTCAAACACTATATTCAAGCTTCATTCAGTGGGAGGTCATCCTTCCTCTTCATTCAGTCGGAGGTCATCTGGAACTCTCTTCGCCTGCCCATTCCTGCTGTCAACTCCCTGCCCCTCGAGGCGTTTGGCCTTCCTCCTTCTTCTCCTGTGTCTGTCGTCTACAGAGAGTGTGTGAGTGTACACATTCTTCTAAAGAGAGAGTGTGTGTGTGTACAGCTCATTTTCCCCTGCCATGTTCATGCTCCACTCTCCTGCACAGCCTCCCGGGAGGCTGTTGGGTTTAAAATCGGTATAAATAATTCCCACTCGTATGGAATTAAACCAAAGCTAGGCAGTAACGGCAGCAGCAACGACAACAAGAATGAGAAAAAAACCTGCAAATTAACTAGGGCCGCCGAGTTAACGCGAGCCGGACTTGCCTCGGGGCTCACCCCCCCCCCCCCCAACGCACCAGCAGACGAGCGCCACGTGGCGCGCGCAGCAATGGAGAGGAGGAGCGTCGTCGTCGTCGTCCGTTGTGAGCGGAGAAAGAAGCGACGCGGCAAACGAAACATTGTGAAGGTGACCCCCCCCCCCCCCCCCCCGTTCGTTAGCGGTGCGCCCCGCGCAGTCGGGGACATTTTCCGTCCCTCGCCAGCGCTGTCAGCCGTGGCCGGCAATGTGACTGAGGCTGCCAGGCAGGTTCACCCTGCGGTGGCGATCAACCACAGCACAGCCACGCGACTCCGGCTACGGCTGCTTCGACATCCATCGTGCAAGTGGCACGATGGTGACAACACGGTGGATATTCAGTCGGTCGTCAGTTTTTATATCAGTTCTTTGATACTTTTTTTTTATGCGATGCTCTCTGATCAAAGCTGCATTTTATATATATATACACACACTGTGACATGTTCGCATGCTCACAGTAATGTTTTTGAACAATGCCTCATTTTAGGTTTGATGCCAGACATAAAAGTATTTGACTACAAATTTTTTAAATGAAAGTTTCAAATTGAGGACAATTTCGTTAAAAACGCATGAGGAATATGCAATATAAATTTGAAAACTGCACTTAGCTTTTACCCAGCCGCCACCACATTCAGTCATATTTTTAGTTTCTACACTGAACGTGTTGAATATAAGATATTTAAAGCCTGCAGATGATGTTTTATAGTCGCTGCTTTTATCACCCTGCGAATGCGTGAGGCGGCTCTGCCTCCACTACTTAGCAGTCGTTGCTGTTCTTCACCAATCCGAGACAAAATGAAAGTGCCAGACGTCGCTTTTAAGCAGAGATCTTTTTTTTAATATAAATCGAGATTAAAATGCAAAAATGGAAATCGCAGCAGCTGCACAAACGTGACCTCTGAGGGCCTGAGAGCAGCAAATGCTCTTACAAGGCGCTGCAATTCCGCGTAAAAAAATGTGTAAAATAAATAAATAACTAACTGCCACCGCGAGATAGCAACGCTGTGGGCGTGGCCGTCATTGCTACGGATGACGTCACCACCCCCACCGCCAATCAGCTGCCACAAACACAACCCCATGCAACATGGCCAGGTATGTGGCTGAGGTCAATGTATTTATGCTTTTAATGTTCATTATATTCGTTCTAGATGTTATTGTAACTATTATTGTTTTTATTTATTTCATCATTAAGTTATGTTATGACTTATCAGCAGAATGCTTTACTTTTTGGAAATTGACCTACACATTGTCCTGACCACCCCTAAGTTTGTAATAATTATAATCTCAAAATAATTACCGCATTTACATCAGGCTAAGCCTTAAATCCCGCAAAAGGAACCCGTGAACAAGATTGAGAAGTTCAGAAATCACCAAACTTACAGAAGCACACGTGGTGGTGGTGAACACGTCGGCTTTAGCGACCAATCCTATTAAGATCGCCTGATGAAGCTGGTTGTAATCACCAGTGAAGCGTCGTGCTCGGACTGTAAATGTTGTGGCTTTACTCTCCAACACACCGGTGTGCTGAAGTAGTCACCAATTGGCACGTTGTGATTACGTGACAAACCTTTCTGATTGGCCGTTTCAGTTGGTGGTCGGTGAACGACACATTTAGATTTACGCGATATTACCCATAACACTTAAAATAATTAGACGTTTATAGCTCCTCACACCGGCCAATAGCATCATCAACCCGCTGAGCGACTTCCCAGAATGCCCTTCGCAGCTTCTCAGATAAAGACCTAAAATGCCCCATCTGTGTTTGTGGGGTTTTTTATGAGGAATAATGGTATTGTAAATATTCGTGTTATAATTATGGCATATGTTGTTAAATATCGGATGAAAAAGAATAGGTGATTAAAAAGTCGTAACTTGACGTTTCACCGTCTCGATTCACCACCCTCATGGAATTGGAGTTCTGAGAAAGTCTCAGCTGACCACATTCCTAGCGCTGTACAGTTCGTTCTGGACCCAGCTCTCCAGCATGAATATTTCACAATCCACATCACCTGCTGCAAACCAATGGTAGGACTACCGATTTAAAACGCCGTATGCTGCCGTGGTGTGATGGGTCAAGCACACCGGGCTTGCACACTTAAAGGTCGCCGGTTCGATTCCATGTCACGGCGCAGAAGTTGAAGCAAATCACGTCCCGCACCCCCGCCACACTCCCCTCCGCCCCCGTCGCTGTCCCCCCATCAGTCTAAATGTCTTCTGGAAATCTGTGAAAAAGAGCTTCATAGCTCGTCGGATTCCTCCTGCATAAACAAATTCTGACTCATAATCAGAATATTTCTTTATAATATAGAAATCCGATGGGCTGTAAAGCTCTTTTTTCACAGATGTCCGAGAGGGGTTGGTCAGAACGTTAAAACAACAAACCGTACAAAAACCACGATAGGAGTGCAAAGCATAGGACAGTTACATGGGTACCAGTTAGTACATCGGCAGGTCACGTGTGGCCGGCGTGGAAGAGTAGGCCAAAGCACCCACTTGTTGAGGCCCTCTATGAGCCCCCTGTAGTGAGAACCCTTCCCTTTGCAGTGGCGTGCGTGAGCAATCAATTTCAGGGCTGCACCTTTACACATGTCGACATGCAGGAGTCTAGTGGTTCAAGGTGTCCGTGCGGGTTACCTGGCCACACGACATTGTTTACACGACAGCCACGCGCACGCACCTGGAACGAAGTTTCCATTCGGGATCTCCTTGTAGGTCCACCAGTCGTCTTGTATCCTCTGGGAGCTGTACTGAGCTGCGGCGCCTGTGGGCGCGCACACGACACAACCACGGAGAGGGTGGGGGGGTGAGGAGGGGGCGAGGAGGGGGTGAGGGGGGTGAGGGGGGGGGTGAGAAGGGGGTGAGGAGGGGAGACCTTTCACTCGAGCCCAGCGCCCTGGCCCTGCCACGCGCTACTCCGCTCTCGCTCGTGGCAGCGTGGGGCGAGGGGATCAGCGGGTTTTGTTTTGTTTTGCCAGCGCCGAGGTCGTCTGTGCGTTGCACACCGCGTGTCTGCTCCATCGCGGGGGCGTTGCCCCGCTGCTTCCCCGCTGCTGCTGCTGCCCTGTTGCCCTGCTGCTGCCCTGCTGGAGTTCAAGTACTTGTCGGCAAAATGTCGAGATAACCAATTAAAGGATGGCTTTTCTGTCTCTCTCTTTTTTTAATGAGGCACCTTTATCGACGCAGGAATCAACAGGTGAGGACGCCTGCTTCTGTTCCACATCCACGTTCACCTTAGCAGCCCGCGGCAGCGGTGCGTTGCGTTCATCGCACACACACACCACACACACACCACCTGCACACACACACACACCACACACGCACCACCCACACACACCACGCACACCACACACGCACCACACACACACACCACCCACACACACCACGCACACCAAAAACACCACACACACACCACCCACACACACTACCCACACACCACACACGCACACCACACACACCACACACACACCACACACACACCACCCACACACCACACACACACCACACACACACACCACCCACACACCACCCACACACCACACACGCCCACACACGCACCACACACGCACCACACGCACACCACACGCACACCACACACACACCACATACACCACACACACCACACACACCACACACACCACGCACACCACACACACACGTGCGCGCGTGCCCGCAACCATTGCGCTGTAGTTGGCTTCTCAATTCATTTGTTTCGTGTCTCCATTTCGCAGGGGACAGCTTTGAGATTTACGAGCAGTTTACACACAACGTCACAGCCCGAGTCGGCTTACACGCTGACGACGCGATCCGATATTAAGTCACGATTCACATGCACCCACACAGTTTCCCCATCTCAAAGCAAGCCGACACAAGTTAGCGAAGTTAAATATGCAGTCTGTTTGCTGCCAAATACACACGTGCCTTGCTGCTATTTAGTCAACACACACACATAGTACACATTCAGCAGCAGCAGCAGCGGCACACACGCTTGACTGCGTACAATGCACAGCGGTGCATTTTACGTGGACGCTTATGAAGCAAAGTACATACACTTAGTGGTTCCTCAACATCGCAGTGACAGGGCCGGTGGTAATGCAAAGCTCAGCAATCCCCCCCGCCTGTCCCCCAGCCAATTTCCCGCAACGCAGAAATGCAATCTAAAACAATTCCCCCAACGCGAAGATCAAGCTTAATTGAGACCCGGCGGAGTCGCTCGCTTCTCCTGCAGGTCTGCGTGTGGCCGGCAATAATGTGTCCGCTGCAGACCATGGCACTGGATCGCAGCCAACTCATTGCATTGGCAAGTCGCCCGCTCCACACAACCCCCCTTCCTCCACGTCTCTTCCCCAACCGTGAGCAGAAAAGGAATTTCACCGATGCGAACTTGGGCGAGAGTCCCGACAGCAGGCCGGACAAGGCGGCATTGTGCGATCGCTGCTGAAGGCCCATTAACTCAAGTATTGACGGAATATTTTGCGTGGTGTGTAATTCGCATTGTACATCACTATTTAATGCCCTTGTCATTTTCATCGTTATCACCCTCGCGCCGCGGAGGGCACGCGCGTTCCTGGAGGGGGGGGGGGTCGAGCGCGCGCCCGTGCCAATCGGGGGGGGCTCGCCCGTGCCTTGCGCCCGGGGGGGGGGGGTGAGCGCGCGCCCGTGCCTTGCGCGCGTGCCGCGTGACGCGGCGCCCCGCGAGCAGCGCCACCCGCGTGGAGGTGTGCGGCGAGCGGACCCAGCGCCCCTGCCGCACGTGGCGGCACCAACACCAACACAGGCGCACCCCGGGCCACTCGGGCGGGTTTCTTTATTTGTTTAAAATCGTGGGACTCGTGCGACTCATGCGGGGCAGCCTTGGGGGCGGGGGAGGGTGAGCACCACCTCCTGTCGGACAGAACCCTCGAGCCGCGAGTCGGCGGCACTCGCCGCTGGCAACCTGCGCGCGCTGCGGGAGGGCGCGCGTGCCCCGAGCTCCCCACGCGGGACTCCTTCTCCTCCCCCGCGGGGCCGACGCCGAGGGGGCTCTCCCCGGTCAATGCAGGGGCATAAAGTATGGTGCACACTGCCAGGTGAGTCACGCAGAAAACCCCGCCGTGACAAAGTATATTTACAAACGATTTGGTGATGTAGCTGCGGTGGCAGTGAGGTGCACCCAGCAGCAACAACAACAACACGCGTGTCGATACCACTGTGGCCTTTGAAGGAAACATTTTTACGTGACGTTTCGGGCAATGGCCCTTCTTCATAGCGCACAACGTCATGCCCGATTGGCTAGATTGCTTGTACATTCTCAACACATCCTGCCTCGTCTGCGGTCTGCTCGAGTGGAGACTCCTCTTGGGTCTCCCCCCCTCAACCCGGTGCGCCGTGCCGGCCTGAACGGGCTCCTGCTCACATCAGTCGCCCCAACGGCCTGGGGCTGTTGTGTAGGCGACCGCGCACTCCGCCCCGTGTGCGTCTGCACGCCCTGCGCGTTGCAGTTTTGTTAAGAGGGCTACGGAATCAAAGCGCCTTTGTTCTTGGCGCCCTCGGCAAGGTGATGCGCGGAGCCGGGCGCTCGTGGTGGCGACTCACAGCGGCACCCTCGCGATCTGCCACGGGCCTGCATAGCGGCTTCGCGTGAGATGGCGGCGGCATGGACAGTCCATAAAGCAGTAGATTGATCATAGCGGCTGCTGCTGATGATGGCAATATGTTCCAGGGGCTAGTAGAGGACGAGACTAAGCAGGGACTGCTGATGAGAAGGCTTAGCTCAAATCTCTCCCTCCCCGCCCCCCCCCATGATCTCGACCACTGCGGATGCCCCGTGGGACACTGGACTAGAGAGGGGGAGGGGATGAGCGGTGTTGCCTTGGTTATCGTTTCAGTTAACAGGATTCCTTCTTTTTTATTCCGCACGTTGTCAATCCATTAATTAGTTGATTGTTCACCGCGCGCGTGTCGCTGGGTGCGCCGTTGTGCCCGCGGCACTCCGCCACGATCCACCTGGCACCGCGGGAAGTTCCCCCGTGTAGAATATTAAACCGATTCTCGCGCTGATGATGCGTGCACGTCGAAGCACGCGGGATAAGAACTCGATCGATATGGAAATCACGAGCCGGTGTTACACTCGCAAATGGAGGAGGCTCGTGAAAAAAACGCTCCTGAGCAGTTGGAGGCAGTCGTCCTCCAACAACAACGGAGGGCAGAGGAGCAACGGATAATGATTACATGCGGCAAGTTGGCACAGTAGGGGGCACAACTGGTGCATCTGCCAGTCATCTCAGTCAGCCAACCCATGGCACCTGCTGGGTCTGTCCCGTGACCTCCTGTCGGCGAACCTTCGACACATCACGTGGTGGCCTCAAAGTGCACCTAGCCTGGCACTGGCGCCGTGGTGACGTCACCGCCACTTAGTGGCGATGGCGTCGCTGTTGTTGTGGAGCAAATTAAACAGCCAGCAGTGCAGAGGAGATGGGACACGTGTATAAGACGAAGGAGGATTAGCAGGTGACCCTGATTTGTGATCATTTGTTGACTCCTGGCAAGGGACGTGGAAAGAGGGGTGGGGAGATTCAGATCCCGCGCGGTTTTCACACGGAGTCGTGACCCCGTGAAGATGACCCTTGAACCCTTAACCAGGCCTAGGGGGACCGCCCCAGCCAGGAACCCATCTACATTATCATTTACATCATCATAACCATAATCTACATCATCATCACCCTCATCATCATCACCATCATCTACATCATCTACATAATCATCATCACCATCATCTACATTATCATCCCCATCATCTACATCGTCACCATCATCTACATCATCATCACCATCATCTACATCATCATCACCATCATCTAAATCATCATCATCATCTACATCAGTGGTTCAAATCCTGGGGTGCACGCACCCCCTGTGGATGCGAGATGCCCTTTCTGGGGATGCGAGACACGGCCAAATTTCACGGACACGTAAGGAAACCTACTTTGTCTCATCAAACCCTCTGTAGTTATTAATATTATTACATTTTTTTACGATTGAGAACCAAAGGGGTGCATGGCTACAGGAAAGGTTAAGAACCACTGATCATCATCATCATCACCACTACCATCATCTGCATCACCATAATCTATATCACCATCATCGACATCATCGCTATTATTATTATCACCTACATCACCATCATCACCATCACCGTCATTACGGGGCGGTGACGCGGCCCAGCGTGGGCCGTGTCCGTGGCGTTTCGCGGAGCTTCGCGGTTAGATTCCGGAAGGCCGCCATGGCTAACACTGCACGCGCATTGCACCGCAACATAGCACGCGCCGTCTGGTTCACAGTGCACGCGAGGGCACCCGTGGAAGAGTCGGACCACTGTGTGCCGGCGACATGGGTCCAAGCTTGCCGCACGTGAGAAAATTACTCAATTGGGAAAACGCGCAGACCGATCTTTTCCCCCCACTGCCTACCGCAAAAACTTGGCAGGACCCTCCTGAAAAAAGAGTCTTGAGACTCGGCGAACCTTTTTCTGTTATAATATATGAACACTACATCCCAGCAATGCATGACGTGATATGGCGCCTCACGCGCGTACGCAGCACAAGTCCTGAGCGCCAATGGGACACGGAAGCAGTTGCATAGAGGACTCACGTGGGGCAGCAGGAATCGTCCGTCCTGACCCCCCCTCAGACCCCCCCCCCCCCCCCCCCCCACATGCCGCCCCCCCACACCGGGCTATGATGGCCCGTGTCCCGAATTCCTGCCATGGACAAATACATTTACAAA